TTTTTTTTAGTGTTCTGTCTGACGACAGGTCCATATGAACAGGATCCTTCCATCATTTTCTCGGTCTGGGACCTGTTCATATACGTTCTTGGCAGATGATCCAGAAGTGGTTTGCCATTGCCTTCTTCTGTGTGTGTGAATGGAGTAATTGTTGGGATGCCACGGAGAAACCGGGGAAGCCCCCGGAGGAAAACTCCGTGTTGCCTAGATCACGGCCTTGCCCAACACAAGTTATAAATTCGGGCACCGCCGGGAATCGAACCCGAGACCCCAGGATTACAAGGTCAGCGTTCTAACCGCTAGACCACCGTGGCGGTCCTTCATGATATGTCAACTATAAATTGTTTAAACACGAGTATAGTTCTTCAAGTCTGTTCATTCGTATTCAGATACTAAGAAATATTTCAGCCTTTTACGATCCGTTATTGATTTGGGTTTAAAAACTGGAGTAATAATCGAAAAATCCACTGCATTAAGTAAGAAACCTCTTGTTATGTAACCGGACAAGAGTCCTAAGTCAAACCCCAGCAAATATATTTATTCAGTGTAAAACTGTCAGTTTCTTTTACGATTTGGTGGACCTGCCTTAATCAGTTTAAATTCGACGTTCAGCTGTTTGCACCGACATATTTAAATGAGTGTATACCGCAAAATTTAATTTCCTAAGATGGCTCATAGATCTAAATATTCTCATCAGACACCCAAATATTCGAACTTGGTTTAAATAAAGCTCTCTTCGCCCAATTACGTCGTAAACGTAATAACGATGCTAATGGTTACGAAAGCTCGTAGTAGTGGTCGCGTAGTGAGTGTTGCTGGTTGCCAAACATGCCAGCCAGTGACAAGAATAGACAGTGACACGCTGTCCTGTTGTAACAGATTTGCTTTGCCTGATGACAGATTTTACAAAATTTAAATTTCTTAATGTCTTTAACCCTGACCTTACAATTTACCAGACTGTATCTGTAATACGTGGGCTGAGTCAGTATCACCCTCAATAAGCCTTATAACTTACGATACCGAAAGAAATAAGAGGATTCCTTCTCGTTGACGTAATTTCTATTTTAAATACAACAGAATTTTTCAGGTCTTAAGAGGGTTCGGTGATTCCATGGATGGATATCCTTTATTTTCGCTTCTCTTGCGAGTGTATTCATACGCACCGAGCAACAGTAAATAAAAAAGTAGTTCTGGTTCTTTGAACCTGATGACAAACAAAAATAGAACTGAGTTTAAAAATTACTTCGCCCGTTGTAACAACAAAACGAAGTCTTTAAAGCTAAGAAATTTAATTGAATAAAATTTTTGGATATTATCCATCGTCTAGTAAATATAAAACGTAAAAACGACGTTTCGGAGATGGGACTCTATCTCCGTCTTCAGGTTCCTACACAGTTGGGCCCACTAGATAGAGCTAATCCCTATCTCCGGACATTTAGCCAATGCAGACTACCTACGATATACAAACACAGTTTTGAAAATTAACTCTATTTAATTAAATTTCCACACGACAAAACTGCTGACTTTGTGCAGAATAACGCCTAGTTTCAGTTAGATTCTTACACAAACTCAGGACACATGTACTTGGTTTAATGGAAATTATGGGTCAGATCCCAATAAAATTACCACAAAGTTAATGTAAACGCTATAAGATTCACATGTACCATGTTCTTTTATAATACATTTAATTCAAATACTTCTGTATACAATAATTTTGGGTAGAAAATATTTATACATATTTTATTCTTTTCAGGATAATGAATCAGAACAAGATTCGATACTGGTTCTCTGCATTCGAAGAACGAATAGGCATCTGAGGGAAATGGCTTTATTTTCCGTGGCTCTGAATGTGTGTGGTTTAAACATCTGGAGAAACTTAAAGGTAAATTTTAATGGCAGGAATCCACGCACACGTGAAGCTTTATAGATCAAAATCCGGAATGTTATTCTAAGAACAACAGAAGGTGAGATTCAATGTCATTTCTTAGGCCCTCTGCCATGTTACGATTCGGATAATTTTTAGGGTCTATGAATGCATCCAATCCCAGGCCGCGCGACCTCTTGAAATTCAAGGCGTCATTAAATTTGTCGCGTCGCGGTAAAATGTACTGGTAATGTTGGCAGACGTCAAAATTTAAAAATATTATCATCACACATGGAACAAATTTAAGTAATTCTTTTCCACTTATTACAGCGATGTTCTGTACAACGCCAAAGATACAAGGTTACATAAATTAAGAAACTTACTATTGTACATTCTGACTCTCTCCCCGATCCAGGACATTTTCCAAGGAACTTGTCGTGACATTTCTTATGCACCGCAGTCTGGCAGGCTGAAAATAAGAGTGAACAGTTACAAGATATACAATAAAACCCCATTAATGTAAGAATATACGACTTAAATTCAAGCAGAAATACTTACACTGACATTGGTAACCCTGTTTTCCAAATCCCCTGAAATGAAAAATGTAAGAGCATTTAAAAATTAGTCTTTTATCTGAGGAATTAACATTTATAAATTCCTTAATAATATTCGTTATAATTTACAAACGTAGTATAAGGACTCGTCACGAAATAAAAACCTCCCAAGATTATTAAATTATTTATCACTGAGATATAATCAATTGTTTGAGGTTCAGTTCATTTCAGAAGGGAAGTGAAAATATTATTAGATATACGGTGTCGTCAGGGAACATGTGAGGTAAGAGAGAGTTTTGTAAGACATGAAAATTTGTGTAATTCACTCAACCGGTTCGTGCACCGCTGTACATCGGTCACTGGAGTTTGCTCCGGTGTTACTGTAATCCTCCCAACACTACGACGTCAAGGAGGTTAGAATCAGACAGAAATACCCATGCTTGCAGCAATGTTATAAAATATTTTGTTCGAAAATGAGAAAGTGAAATTTAAATTTAAGAATTATATAATTTTATAAAGTTTGTGACCACCATTAGTGTAGATAACTAGCGGTTAGAACGCTGGCCTTGTAATCCTGGGGTTCGATTCCAGGCGGTGCCCGAATTTATAACTTGTGTTGGGCAAGGCCGTGGTCTAGGCAACACGGAGTTTTCCTCCGGGGGCTTCCCCGGTTTCTCCGTGGCATCCCAACAATTACTCCATTCATACACAGAAGAAGGCAATGGCAAACCACTTCTGGATCATCTGCCAAGAACGTATATGAACAGGTCCCAGTCCGAGAAAAGGATGGAAGGATCCTGTTCATATGGACCTGTCGTCAGACAGAACACTAAATAAATAATAATATAAAATATTAGCTGTTCATTTCTTTACTTGCCAAACCCGTTTCGACTTCTTAAAGCCATCATCACTGACTATACATCAGATATTTGGTTTTATGAAGTACAAGGAAATCACTATGTCATATCGAAAAGACTGAATCACACAAACATTAAAACTCAGAAGATATTTCTCAGTTAAAACTGAGATAGAATTACAGAGTTGCGCAACATAAATTATACTAAAAGATGTTTGGTGTGCTGTGTCCAGTCATGTCTTCATCGGTCTGTATTTTGCTTAAGACAACTTTGTCAGACATTAACCGTCAATCAAGTGCGACATTGAGAAGTGATTGAGAAGTTTGTCGGCGAAATGAGAAGATTTCATCGTAAAAAGATCGTATGAATTAACAGTGGTTCCAACAAATCATAGAGCTTGTGAGAAAATCACAGTGCTTCGACGCTATTTTGGTGAACGAATCATTTCCAGAAGCACCAATTTTGCTTATCGAGCGCACTCACCGGACTTAACACCCCCCCCCCCCCGACATTTTGGAAGGGGGTACTCAAAGAACGTGTATACAGACATTCAGTACCTCACACTTTGCTTCGGTTGAAAATAAACATGTTACTATAAACAAATAGTAGAATACTGCTTGTTTATGATTACTCAGATGATTGGATAACTTAGGTATAACAGTGTCGTTATTTATTTTATTTATTTAGTGTTCTGTCTGAGGACAGGTCCATATGAACAGGATCCTTCCATCCTTTTCTCGGACTGGGACCTGTTCATATACGTTCTTGGCAGATGATCCAGAAGTGGTTTGCCATTGCCTTCTTCTGTGTGTGAATGGAGTAATTGTTGGGATGCCACGGAGAAACCGGGGTAGCTCCCGGAGGAAAACTCCGTGTTGCCTAGACCACGGCCTTGCCCAACACAAGTTATAAATTCTGGCACCGCCGGGAATCGAACCCGAGACCCCAGGATTACAAGGCCAGCGTTCTAACCGCTAGACCACCGTGGCACGCTAGTGTCGTTATAAGTGACACTAAAAAGATAAGGGGCACGCACTTGTGATAAGTTTCTGTCAAGTAGAGAATTCTGAATAATCCGTACATCAAAATATTCATTTCTGAATGTTTGTGACGTTGGTGCGTTGTTGAAATAGACTGTTATCTAGATATTATACATAAATAAAATCAATAAAAAAACACGACGTTTCGGAAATGGGAGTCTATCTCCGAAACGTCGTTTTTTATTTATTTATTGTATTTAGTCTTAAACGATGGATAATATCCAGAAAACATAAGATGATATAGTTGCGTCATATTGTGATACCATATATTAATTAATTATTCGGTTTTGGTCCGTCTAATCACAATACAAATTTAAAATTTAAAATTTACAATTAAGATAATTAAAATATCATTTGATGTTCCTCATCGAACAATCGATTTACATTTGGAACATCTTTTTACAATATGTTTCGGTTTCTATATAAACCATCTTCAGGTGTAAAAGTTAAAATTATAAACTTAAAACCTAATTACAATTTCTGATATGCATAAAACAGTCTACTTCAAAATATTCACAACTTAAAACTTCTCAGACTTACCACAGGAAGTCTTTGCAGAATGCACAAAATGTAGGTTGCCGGAAGAACTTGGCAACGAAGCGGTGACCCTTGACTTCGTGTACCTTGTGGTGCTTGATGGCTCCTCTTCGCCTGGTTATCGCTCGACCCCGCGTTCGTCCGACAGATTCGTCATCAAGAGAACTCAGTGTGGGAAGAGCCGGTGGTATCACTACAAGGGGAAAAACACTTATTATAATATTTATTGCGTCTGTTAATAATTATTATACGATACGAGTGACATTAATTGATTCAAGATTGTACAATGCATCGTTGTGACGAGTCTGACATACCTAGGTAATAATAATAGGTACATAAGGATTCGAAAGGAGACCGTTATGAGTTATTTCAAGGCGCGTATGCTCTGACAGAATCCTACTTTTGCATTGCCAACTGCTGCAGATAAATTTTAAATGATAGCACGTCTACAAAGTAGCCGGTTTATAAACCTCAGTTAAATCTATTTCCTGTAAGAATTGTCTGTAACGTTGATTATTCTGGAGGTTGTCAAGTACTCAGTTGATTTCATTACGTCATCATAATGAAAGAAATGTCATGTTGAAACTACGAGCAAACGCGTTTAATTTAAGGTAAAAGTGAGAATATGTTTACATTTTTTAACACTGATCTGTATTTGTTTTATCTACTTCAAGGAAAGTATTTTTTAAACTTTCGACTGAAAATCAGAACAATAATTATATAAACTATACATTAAAGTTTACAGGTTTCAGGATTACAAATTTAAATTTGATTTAAGCAAACGACTTTTATAAGAAATGACATATAATTGGGAACTTTTCAATATAAACTAGCGAGAGAATCCTTACAAAATCATTTCATTAACAAATATATTGTAGTCTTATATATACATTAGTTTATATTTCATTTTTCGCTTCTTGCGATACGTTGAACGACATTTCCGTTTCTCCTTATTGCCGAGCTAAGATACCGGCAGCTTTCGACTTTTCCCCTCACCGGCTGAATAAAAACTCGACGTTGCTCCACATTGTGGAACAGGACACTGATAAGTCTGGAACGGGTGTCGGACAACAGGACACACTTTGGCTGGAGCACGCACACTGCAAGGCCTTGGCTCTCTCAAGGTACGGGCATGCGCACGATGCACGTCGAACAGATCCGATGTGGAAGTGTTTATTTTGCTAGTAGTTACTGAAGAAACTAGTATAAGCACATCTTAAAACACGTAACTGTGCTTCTGACTGACCTTGAGCTGGTCTCGCACTTGTCAAAACACAAATTGGCATGTAATGTTGCTGACCACTGTTTCAAATTAAAGCGAATACTCGATTTACTGATAATTCAGATGTTGGTAGCACTGTGACAGCGACTGTCAGCGCCAAAGACCACTCGGTTAGCGAGTAGTCCCGACTGTAACTAGACCAAGACCTACCAACAGCTTCAAAGAGCTTCCGGACTTCAGATTACAAGAGTTACACCTGAAATGATCACATTATGACACCACAATATTCACACAAGTACGTAAGAAACTCACTTTTTCGTTTGAGGAACGCCGGATATTTGAACCGCTGTCTAGTGGTAAAAATTTCGGAAGTGCTACAAAATAAAACGAACAAGTTTGAAAAATAATTTGGTCTGCCATCACCTGCCAATGAACCACTGAATTATAAGACTGGCAGCTGTAGATTGGATCACAATATACGTGCCTTTTTTGCATGTGCTGATAAGCGGCATTGCTCAGTTATCAGTCAAACGCTAGTAGAACTAGGATCAGCTACATAGTATAGATATAACAAACCGAATGGAGTGAGATTTTTATCAGTTCTTACAAACATTGTAGCTAATGGAACGCAGTGTACTTATTACATTTTCAGTGGACATAATAAATTCAATAATGTAACACGAACTTAAGAAGAGGAAAGTTTTAATTATGAAGTTTCGAAATTACATATCCAGTTCGAACATGACCTTATTCTGGGTTGCAGCGCCGTATAGTCTGGTAAAAGCTTACCAACGTTTCAGAAGTATGCTTCTCCGTCATTAGGGCGATTACTGCACGGCGCTACAACCCAGAATACAGCCTTCTTCGAACTCACCGCCATGAAAACCTCAAATCCTACATATCCATTTATCAAGAGATTTGTATGTGATTCTTATTTTGTGTTGGTCTGATTTTTTTGGGGATATGTGCTAATATGGATTGTTATTTACTCTAATGTCAGATAATTTAATTAATAAAACCATAATAGCTCGATTCATTGAAAAGAAAGGCAAGTTGGCTGATAGAGTAATCAGAAGGGAGCGAAATATTGCGTAATTTACACTTTCTCTAGTAAATATTTTGTTTCAAAATTTAGAATAGAATTCAGATTGTAGTTCATGTTTATTTGGTCTGTACATTCTTATGTTTGAATGCAGTGCTTTTATCAGCCGGGTATCTTCTTACACCCACCAGTAACCCTGAGAAAAGAGAGAGAGAGACATCCTTGTGTCCATAAAACACATGTTTTTTTTTTGTTTTTTTTAAAGTAAGGTCTGATAACTGGAAAGAATCAATGCAACACATTTCCGTGCGTCCTTGGCCTCGGTGTAAGATATGAAAAGTTAACAACTGTAACGTCGGAGTGTGGGCGCCGCTATTCAAGTTTTCTTCAGGCACTACTCGATACAGTTACATAAAATTCATTGCTCGACTCTGAGATAACCATAACCTCAAATAAAAGTTCCATTGCACAACAATACACCAGAGTAATCTGGCGTGAAGTGAAGTAACCAGTTCTATACCTCGGCCAGTGTTTGCAGCTCTCTAGTGAGATAATTCTGAAGCTCGGTCACGTAATGAACATAGACAAAGACAGATAATAGAATGGCCGACGGGACGAAAATATTTTTAAACCTTCGAGAAAGGAATAACATACCACATCGCAGGAAAGCTACTAACCATAACTGGCACATGCCAGGCATTTATATTCATTCAAATACTTCGTTTTCATGTTCTGCTCGTACGACCAGATTCAGAAGCTGAGCCCATAAATTAAATTCGCAGATATTAAGAATTATTTCCCACAAAAGAAAGGTCCCACACACTGGATCTCTTTGTGTAATATTAATTTACCGTAGAGTTTGAGAGCCCTCTTTAAGCCAACAGTGTTTTAAAAACAGGCCTACGCCTGGCTCGAAAACGGTTTTAAAAAACAATAATTGCAGAAGTTACTCATTACCTTTAGCGTAAATTTGCACGTCTGACTACTTCTCGTCAGTGGGTAAGAATAAGTTCTAACATGGCCTTGAAAACGGTGGAAATATGTTCTTCCGAAACGTTAGTAACATCTTTACTACCGTGGGAACCGCGAAATCACATGCCATTTATCAATTCTTCGTGATTCTCGTGGGAGTATTAAATTACAAATGACACAGAAGGAAACTGTCATGACCTGATTTAAGGTGACATATCGATATTTGCCTGGAGGGGCGGGTAGGACTGTAACAGTATTGATTAAGACACAGTACATTACGTGGAAAAGTCAGTAACAAAAATTTTTAACAAATTAGCATTCACATCTATTAGTTTCGAAAACTTTAAAGAGAACGAAACGAAGATGACCAATTAAGGTCGAAACATGTAGTGGATTCTCAATAAACTTTGAAGCTACAATCAGCAATCGTTGTGTAGACGGACTGTCAACGTAACGTTCGATACACAACAGAATACATCCTCTAAAACTTTACAAATATTACCTTTAGAGGCTCCTGTAACTTCCAAATAGGAAGTCTGAGAGAAATTTCTTGCCAAGATCAATGTGATCTCGGTAATTCTTCTTAACACGACATTAGGCTGCTGATGTAACCAGATTTTACCAAGAAACCAAACTGTAGACTAACCATATACGAAAGGGAGATCTGATGTTTTCACGGCGGCTAAGATGACAGTCTGTATAAGTTTACCGACGTTTCAGAGGTGGTTGCTGTCTCCATCATCAAGGCGATCGCATTGGAACTTCTACCAGGCTATCCAGAAGGCATCCAGCCATCTTCAGACTCAAATCATACTTGTACGTTACCTACTACACTTCGAATTCTTTAACAGCCTCATATGTTGTAAATTATACGTAACTTTAATGATCCTTTTATGTTGACTGGGGTCTAAATTTGACGGAGTCAGTTGATACGTAAGCCTCCCACGCTGATTGCAAGATAGTTTTAATCTTTCAAAATTTCGGTCCGTCGCTGTGTTCGTGACTTATGACGCGTAAACGATATTTCCATCAGGTAACCACTCACCTTATCATCACATGCCATACAGTGCTTCAATAGTTAACGCTATCAAACGGAAAGCTATGTATAGAATTCGCTTCGTCGCCATGTTCTTAATTTACTAAAAATAAACTCCACAGCGCAGAACCCTTCTTGAGAAACAGACAGATGTTCGGCTTGTCAGCAACATTCCCGCCTTTTGTGGAATCCAAAGGTTCATTAACGTGTTCACGACAGCTTGTAAGTTAACATTCCACGAACACAAACTGCCATATCTTTAATAGAGCCTATTTCTTATCACAAGTAACATGTAATGTTATTCTTATCTCAGAAAATGACGTCAGGAAATTAAGCGGTACACAGATGGGATGGCCCATAGAGGCGTCATATTCACGCAGTTTCATAAAAATTCGTCAGTTGGTTTAAAAGTCAATATTAGGACTGAAAATGCAAGCGGGCATGATAGCAGTGGATGGCCAACCTTCTTTGAGCGACAGATGACTAAATAGGAAAGGCTTATTATTTAAAGTGGTCACCGTATCGGGAAGACGGAAATTGAAGTAATTAACTCGAGAAAAATTTTTGAAACTTGAGTTGTCGCATCAAGACATTTCCCAGAAAATTTTATGACAAAATTTCCCTCGCAAGAAAATAGACGAACGAAACGATGAATATATAATTTTCTTAGATAATTTCAGACTCTGTCATTATTTAAATCCGAAACTGTTGACTTCATATGACAAATGAACAAGGACTTAAAATATATCAAATCTAAAACTTCTTGACGATGGTGAAGAGTCAATTGAATAAAAATTTTCTTGGATATTATCCATCGTCTAGTGAATATAAAACGTTGTTTTACGTTTTATTTTCACTAGACGATGGATAATATCCAAGAAAATTTTTATTCAATTGACTTAAAACCCTTTTAGATTGCAC